GTGAAATAGGCTGTGGATGAGGAAAAAATGCTTAAAACAGAATTGTCTAATGCAGGGTTCCTCAACCTTGGTGACTTGAAGATATGTGGGCTTCAAGTCACCAAGGTTGAGGAACCCTGGTCTAATTTGTATAGAGAGAGAAAAAATAGATGCAAAAGATGTAGTCAAAGAAGCTAGATTTCCATTTCTTTCCTTTTCTCATCCTCCCTCTTATCAAAGGGAATGCTTTTTCTGAGGTCTCTTCTGTGTTTTGCATAATGTTGTTAATCCCAAAAGGGAATAGCATGACAGGTGTGTGTTTACACACGCACACACACAGAGTTATCTGCTAAAATCACCCTTTTGTCTGTTTTGAACCTACTTTTATGGGGTGATCCTGGGGTTCTGGAAGAAGGTGAAAATATTAAAATCTTCAGAGTGATTCAGATGTTGCAGTTTTCAGTCAGTGTTTGGGCACTGTGTTCTTGTTCAGAGAATCATAGAATGAATGAGTTGGAAGGGGCCATCATCCAATTCTCTGTTCAGTGCAGGAGTCCAAATTCAAGGTCAGTGTTGCAACCCCCATTTTGCCAATGGGGGGACTGAGGCAGAAAGAAGACAACTTGCATATGGCTATCAGGGAAACACATAGTTGAATGAAGTCTTGCTTTGTACATTATGACAGGGTATGAGATTGAAACATATCTGAACAGCTGTTTTCCCTGTCAGAGAGAGGGAGAGATGCCTTTATTTATTTAATAAAACAGAACAAAGAGAAAAAAACATACAACAGCAAAAAGAAATAAAAGGCAAAAAAGAGAGCAACACAACAACAAAAATTGTATACATAAAGGCTTCTCATGCATGCAATCGTTACCCAACAGTTCCATTAAAAGCTGGCTATATTTCATTGTAATTGTTCCTACACAACTTGCATTTGTAAGCAAACTGTTTATAAAGCACAAATAACATCAGGTCTTCAATCTTAAAGGAAATCAACCCTGATTGCTCATTGGAAGGATCGATAATGAAGCTCAG